TTTACTTACATTAGTTCAAACCTCCTCATGCCCATATGCTGTGAGCTTGTTTATTGAATCCACATACCAGATGGAGAAATTAAGCCACATAAATAAATGTGCCCTGGCTCACTTGCTACGAAGTGAGGAGCCAAGATGTCTACTCATACGGTGCTAATGTTGAAGGCCTGAACTACAACCTCTATTTACCAGCCAGTGAAGGGATCACTATTCACCATGCAAGGGAGCTCCAGCACCCTCTATGCCTGGAATTACCCAAGCCTGCAGAGATCCCAAACACCATCCCTCACATAAGAGAGCCTCAGTGATCTCAGAATCCAGGTAGCTATGTAGGCATCTCCCTGCAGGTGTCACATAGTGTGAAACAGACATAGAAAGCCCATGTTTCTGATCAAGTCACAGGTTCTAAAACACTAAGGGAGGCACTAAGTAGGACAATATGGTGCCTGTGTGTCATAGCTGGTCTCTCCTCAAGACATGGCTCAAGTCCAATAAGAATTGGGGAAATGCTTTAGAGTCTTGGACAGAGTTATCACCACAAGCCCTCTGAGCTACATAATTTAGGGATCATGACTATTAAGTACTCAAATTACCACTTGGCTATTATCCGGGTATCCGTCATCCTTGTGGCAACTCTCTTGTGAAGCTGGCGAGGAGAGCCTCAGTGCTGGAGCTGAGCCTCCCTTCTGGATGGACCCTCCCTGTGTTAGCAGGTGGGTGCAGGCGTGGGGGTCAGCACGCTCAGTGGATTTACACACACAGCATTGAAGAGTAAGACTGGGCTTCATTATTTACACATTTTTCAATAACTGATGATCTTCATAACACAAAATCAATGATTTACTACATTAGAATACTGTCCCTAGTATTGAATCTTGTCTCTCAATAAAGGGTTGCTTAAAGTCACATGAGAGATTCCATTCAACTGATGATACATGGGACAGACCGTGGCAGCAGTTAAAGCAGTCATTTGAAAAGGCTTTTACTATAAACTTACATCTAAGCCTGAGGTGGGGGATAAAAGAGATGATTAGCTCCCCTCTGCCATGTTCCTATTATGTGCGTGGTGGAGGACAATTACACAGGAAGGTGATGGAGGGAACAGAGCAAAGGATTGCACAGGTTCATTGAACCCATAAGACAATGTTGAGGTTAGTGAATGAGACTGCTCATTCTAGGTCAAATTTTACATTGTGCATTCTTTCCATGCTTTCTTTCAGTAGTTCCTTCTCTTTTTTATTAACTCGGTCACGGTTGCTAAAATCCTCACTAAAAGAGGACAAAGCTTTGTAATAACATAAAAGTTTGTAAAGTTGTGATAGCTCAAATTTTACAAAATACTGGGGGCTTTTGCCTGAGACCTGGATAACCTAGTTGTGTAAGAATGGGGGGTTCCTCTGAAGACTACTGGACTTCTGGGAAGAAAGATCTAAGTTGTCTCTCTGTGATATGGAGTTAGTCTTAAAGCCAGGGACATGGTAGTCTCTGAGAGCAAGCAGGGGGTCACAGAAGAACACACAGAAATAAATAATGTGGGTAATACATATGTTTATAGTATCTAGAAGAAAACATCAAGATGTACATTAAAATATATCTAGAGTTTTGACAAAGACAACTAAAATATAAGAATCTTTAAAACTCACAAGGCAAATATCAGGACCATGTGGCTTCATATTATTTCTACCAAACAGTAAAATAAACATAGCACCAATCTTGTGAACATGCTTCCAGAGAACATACAGAGTAAATGCAGCCTTACTGCCTGATTATTTCCAGAGAATCTTGATTGCACGCCTGCAATAGCAGACATTACAGAAAAGGGGAAGGACAGAAACATTTTTTCTGAAGGTAGAAGTCAAACTCTGAAAACAAACATTAGCAATCTAGCATCAGACTTGTTTTCAGAAAGGAAGAAAAATGGGATTTTATGGGGGGATTTCACTAGGGTTCATGGGGAGAGAAACAGTGGCTTTCTGAGATCGTTGTTAAAGTGTTGGGAAAAGAGACAGAGCCATTGGGTTAATGGAAGGGACATTTGGTGACAGAGGAGAACAGAGCTTGGGGTGAACATCAGAGAGGGTCCTGTGGCTATGGAGAGGTCTCCCTAAGAAGAGACAAGACTCTGTCCCCTGCCACAGCAAGGTCTAGGGATGGATGTGGAGTGTGTAAATTAGAAACTGAATTTGGATGTGGAAAGAATGAGCAGAGAAGGCACACCCAGAGCTGGCGCAGCCACTGCCCATTCTCAGCCCGACCTTATTGCAGGCGGCTCTGATCAATAGTGAAGGAGGCAGTGGGGGTTGCAGACTTAATTCATTAAACCACCAAAGCACCAGCCACATGGCCACTTTTCCAGTTAATTCACAGTAGCTTGCATATTCAGGTTTGATCCGTGGAAGGGAAGTTACTCTTTGCAGACCCATCTTTTGACAATCATTTTGCAATGTCAGAAGGTCTGAGCAGCCTTAGGAGGCAAGCAGACCCTGGTCCCTCAGTGTAGTCACTGGAGGAGACAGTCACTGAGAGGCAGCTGACAGGGTGAAGGGAGAGGGGAGGAAGGCCACAGAGATGACAGCCTTTAAAATAAACTGTCATCTTGGGGAGGTCAAGGATCTGAAAGAGGAAGGAGAATCTTTATTATTAAGGACCTGTCCTTATCTCAGGCAACTCCTCCAGAGCATCACCTTTGTCCACCCACACACCTCGGGCTAGGAGGACTGGAGAAAGACAGTGAGGGGTTCTCTTGGGTCTCTGGCAGAGGGCGTGATGTAGAGGTGTCAGTTGTTCAGGAATCTCTGTCTCTAGGGAACCCATCTCAGATCCTTCCTCACTGGGGTTGGGATTCTGCTCATCACTTATCATCTCTGAATGTCAGCACCCTCAAGTGTAAAATCCCAGCCACAGCCCCTCCTCTGCCCTCCCTGCAGGGCTGATGTTCTCCATAAGCCATAAGGCATCATGCCCACGGAAAAGCCAAACAGGAAACCATATGCCACTGCCCCGGAGCTATCCAAGCATCCTCTCCATATTCAGTCACTAAGTGTCCAACTTATTCCTCCTGGCATGTAGCAAACACTTAGAGAACACTACTGAAGTACCAGTCCTCTCTTAAGGTTTTCCTGTATTTAGTGGTTTTTTAGCCCTATACTGTGATACTAAGAAGTAGGGCCTAAAAAGTATTGCTAAAATTTCATTATGACAGTGCAGAGGACTGAGGGCAGAGGGACGACATGAGCTTGCCAGGTCCACGTGGCTTAGTGGAATTTGAATCCGGGCCCCCACTCTGCACCAGCCCTGCACTCGCAGTCATCCTGCTGTGTTCTCCTCTCCGTGAAGGCACTGCCCATAGTCTGTCTGATAGGGGTGTTGAGTGCTCACTGAATCACTTTGATTCAGCAGGCTCTGCTTGGAAGCCTGTAAAGAACAGGATCATAAGTTTAAACTTAAAACAGATTATCACTATTTTCCCTCTGGTCTTCTGTCAGCAAGATGTCAACAGCCCTCTCTATTGTAAATGCATTAACCAGCATCTTCTCTCACAGAGATTTTTAAGAAGATACGCCGTGTCCACCATCCAGCGTCGGAGGCATCATGGCTTCCGGGTAAAGAAGAAGATGTACTCACAAGAAGGTACTGTGGAAGTTCATTAATTAAGTTGATTTAAGAATCGCAATTGTGGGGAGTATTCAGAGTCTATGTCAGAGGAGACTATGAAGAGATTAAGCCTTATTTTTTAATGTGTCGGAGTTCTAATTTGCCTAGTCAGTAAGTATTACTACAACCACAAAAGTAAATATCCACTTAAAAGTCAATTTTGGTTGATGTTTCATGACAGACAATGTTTCAAGCTAATGTCTAGAACTTACCTAGTTGTTAAACATTAGCATTGATCTCCCTGAAAGAGTGGTGCTATATTATTATTTTCCAATTAATATATTTCTTTAGAGAGTTTTAAATTGACATAAAAACTGAGCATATGGCCGGGCATGGTGGTTCACACTTATAATCCCAGCACTTTAGGAGGCCAAGGCGGGCAGATTATCTGAGGCCGGGAGTAGGAGACCAGGCTGGCCTACATGCTGAAACCCCATCTCTACTAAAAATACAAAAAAATATTAGCCGGGTGTGGTGGTGGGTGCCTGTAATCCCAGCTACTCAGGAGGCTGAAGCAGGAGAATCACTTGAACCTGGGAGGTGGAGGTTGCAGCCAGCCAAGATCACACCATTGCACTCCAGCCTGGGCAACAAGAGTGAAACTCTGTCTCAAAAAAAAAAAAAAAAAAAAGTAAGCATATAATACATGAAGTTCCCATATTATTCTGTCTCCTCACCCTCACTTCCTAATTTCACCTATTATTAACATCTTACATTACTGTAATACATTTGCTAATAATGAGAAAATATTGACACATTATTATCTGAAGTCTATCATTTGCATAATGTTATTTCTTTCTGTTATACATATATATGAAGTTTGAAATATTTATAACATTATGTTCATCCTTACGGTCTCATAAAGAATATGTTCACCTCCTAAAAATCCCCTCTTCTCATTAATCTCTGTCCTTTCTCTGCAGAAACCTTGGCAACTATTAATATTTTTACTGTCACTTCAGTTTTGCCTTTTCCAGAATGTCATATAGTTGGAATCATATATTATGTTTTTTTCAGATGAATTTAGTTCACTAAATTGATGTATACTTAAGCTTCCTTCCTGTCTTTTTTATGCCTTAATAGCAAAAAATGACACAATAAATCACCAAATAATATTGCATTAAATGAATTTTTGTCTTTGTATTCACCTGTTGAAGAATTTGTTAGATTTCATGAGAGGAAACCATCTGGGTCTGGTGCTTTCTTTTTCAGAATGCTCTTAATATGAACTCAAGTTATTTAATAGAAATAAGTTTATTCAAATTATCTAGGATTCTAGTGTGACCTTGGAAAGATTGTCTTTCAAGGACTGGATACATTGCACTGAGGTTACCAAACTGCAGTCATAGAATTGTTTGTAATATTCCTTGATTATCCTTTTAATGCCCAACAGTTCAGTGGAGATGGCTCCTGTTTCATTTCTGAAATTGATCATTTGTGTTATCTTCTTTTTCTTGGTTAGCCTGCATAGAAGTTCATTCATTGTAATGAGCATCTCAGAGAACCAGCTTTTGTTTTTATTGATTTTCTGATGATTTCAGTGTTTTAATTTTATTGACTTCCGTGATGTTGTTTATTACTTCTACTTGCTTTACATTGCTTTCCTTTATTTTCTACAGTTTCCTAATTGAAACATGATATTACTGACTTTAGATCTTGTGATTTTTAATGTATTGCATCCAATGCTATAAATTTCCCTCTAAGGACTGCTTTTGCTACATCCAGAAATCTTGTCAAGTCACATTTTCATTTAATGTAGTTAAAGTTTTTTTTTTCTTTTTTTTTTTAAATTATACTTTAAGTTCTAGGGTACATGTGCACAACGTGCAGGTTTGTTACATATGTATACATGTGCCATGTTGGTGTGCTGCACCCATTAACTCGTCATTTACATTAGGTATATCTCCTAATGCTATTCCTCCCCCCTACCCCCTACCCACAATAAGACTCGGTATATGATGTTCCCCTTCCTGTGTCCAAGTGACCTCATTGTTCAATTCCCACCTATGAGTGAGAACATGCAGTATTTGGTTTTCTGTTCTTGCGATAGTTTGCTGAGAATGATGGTTTCCAGCTGCATCCATGTCCCTACAAAGGACACGAACTCATCCTTTTTTATGGCTACATAGTATTCCATGGTGTATATGTGCCACATTTTCTTAATCCAGTCTGTCACTGATGGACATTTGGGTTGATTCCAAGTCTTTACTATTGTGAATAGTGCCTCAATAAACATACGTGTGCATGTGTCTTTATACCACTATGACTTATAATCCTTTGGGTATATACCCAGTAATGGGATGGCTGGGTCAAATGGTATTTCTAGTTCTAGATCCTTGACCACACTGTCTTCCACAATGGTTGAACTAGTTTACAGTCCCACCAACAGTGTAAGAGTGTTCCTATTTCTCCACATCCTCTCCAGCACCTGTTGTTTCTTGATTTTTTTAATGATTGCCATTCTAACTGGTGTGAGATGGTATCTCATTGTGGTTTTGATTTGTATTTCTCTGATGGCCATTGATGATGAGCATTTTAGTTAAAGGTATTTTTAATTCTCTATTGAGACTTCTTCTTTAACCCATGAGTTATTTAAAGGTGCATTGCTAATTTATAAATATTTGGGGATTTTCTGGTTCTTTTACAGTTGTTGATTTTTTGTTGTCAGGTATGTGTTGCAAAAGCAGTCATCTATCTCATCTTGCCACCACCCAAGATGGCCCAGGATGTGGGCTCTCCCTGAGTGTATCTTTGGCAATCTGCCAGCCTGATGTGGTTGGCCTCCCTCTTTAGTCTGAGCTTGCCTTCTGCTTAGAAAGGGCCATTCTCAGTTCTGGCAGGAAGTTTTCCCAAAATTGAGAAGGTGACATTCTTACTCCCCAGTGCAGCCTGCACCTCTGACCTGTGGTCAGCAGACAGGACAGAGGCCCTCAGTAGACAGAGTTCAGCAGAGTCTCTGACCGAAATGCATCTTCAGAGTCTGCACCTACCCCCTGTGACCTCAGGCAGACTCTGTGTCCTAAAGCAGGAAGAACTGTGCGACCATCCTGTGGAAATTTGTGAGGCTCACCGTGTTACTCAAGTAAGGTCTTTGGAAAGTGTCGTATTACTACTGTTTGTTAACTGCTTGTTGGTGGCTTGGCTGGGCCACACCCTGTATGAAAACCAGGACCCCTCAGCTGGTGTGGGTGTCTGTGCAGCCTGAGACCCTCATGTGAACAGCCTCATGGCAGCTGTCTTTTCCCCTTACCACCATCAGTGCCTCCTTGTTCCTGGGCCCTGCTTTCTCTGATGGGTGCTCCACTGTTTTCCTATACCTCAGTGACTACAGCTGGATGTCTTTTCTGGAATCTAGGTGAGGGGCATCAATAGCAGCTCTGCTGTGGCACTGCCCTCTTTCTTAGCTTGTCTTGCTCTGTCTCAGGCTCCCTCTAAAGATCCCACCCTTCAGGTTCTTCCACAAGTTTCTTATTGAAATCCGAGCAGAAAAATATGACCAATATGACCAATCCTATACCCCTTGAAGACATGAATGAAGAATTAAAACAATTATCCATGGACTTTTCCATATAAATACCTAAAAGTAATTTCTAAAAAAAAATCAAGGAAGATGTAATAGTTTTCCATAAATTAGAATACCCAGCCAGGCACAGTGGCTCACGCCTGTAATCCCAGCACTTTGGGAGAACAAGGTGGGCGGATCACGAGGTCAGGAGATCGAGACCATCCTGGCTAACATGGTGATACCCCGTCTCTACTAAAAAATACAAAAAATTTAGCCCGGTGTGGTGGCGGGTGCCTGTAGTCCCAGCTACTGGGGAGGCTGAAGCAGGAGAATGGCGTGAACCCGGGAGGTGGAGCTTGCAGTGACCCGAGATTGCGTCACTGCACTCCAGCCTGGGAGACAGAGTGAGACTTTGTCTCAAAAAAAAAAAAAAAAGTTTCCCTCACCCACCTTCTCTCTTGCCCACTGGCAGTTAATCCCCACTCCTATCTCCAGCCCTAAGCAATACTGCTGTGGTATTCCAGCTCCATAAATTTCCCGCGTATTTAATAGAAATGGACATATATATATATGTGTGTGTGTGTGTGTGTATATATATATATATATTTGGAACCTGACTTCCTTTAGCCCACTATGTTTGAAGTTAATTGATGTTTTAGCACATGCTGGTAGTGTGTTTTCCTTCAGAGTCTGTTGTGTTTATTCATACAGATAGTGTTTATTCATTTATCAGTTAATGGACATTTAATTATTATTATTTTTCTTTTGCTATGATGAGTAATGTAGCTTTGAGCATTCATATACAGTCTTGTAATGCATAATGACATTTTGGTCAATATATATATATATTTCTTTGAGATCCAGGCTGGAGTGCAGTGGCACAATCTTAGCTCACTGGAACCTCCGCCTCCGAGGGTTAAGCAGTTCCCATGCCCCAACCTCCCAAGTAGCTGGGACACCCAACACATGCCATCACACCCGGTTAAGTTTTGTATTTTCAGTAGAGACAGGGTTTTGCTGTGTTGGCCAGGCTCGTCTCAAACTCCTAGCCTCAGGTGATCCACCCACCTCTGCCTCCCAAAGTGCTGGGATTATAGGCATGAGCCACCGCACCCAGCCTAAATTTTTTAAGAAACAAGAGAACTATATTCTAAATTAGCTTTGCCAATTTATATTCCTACAATGATGCATAGCACTAATTTCACTGCACAATGTATGGCAGGCCCCAATATGTACGAAATGGTGAAAGTAACACATAAAGATTAGTATAAAACAAATAAGATTATCATTGTCGCTATCATCTTTGTCAAATTCTCCAAGCAATCTAAATATGCTTGGCAACATAGCTGAAAAAAGCGTTATCCGTTACATTTATCAGTAACAAAGACATACATTTGAAGGGGAAAAACACTTGTACTGACAACACAAGGTCAGAATTAACATACAAATTCTGCTGGTCACTTTGGAATATTTAATTGCCTGGAGAAGTGTTTTGTAGACAAATGCTCTATGGAGCACCTGAGGTAGGGGGAATCAACAAGACTTGGGTTTCAAAAGTTACCTGGGTTTAGAGCATGAAACTTGGTTGGAGGACACACACCTTGCGTGAGTGAGGTGCCTCGGTGTGTGTGGACGTGTTGGAGGTACAGTATAATGGTGGCTTCCTCCAGAAAGGGACATTTGGGGTAGATTCGTTCCATTTGAACAACACAGCCTGATGTGGCATGGACATGAATGGAGGTGAAATGGACAGTAGCTGACAGGAGCAGTCCTGACAAGGCCAAGGTGAAAAACCTGGGAACTCCTCCAGGTGCAAAGTCTTCAGTTGAAAAAGGAGGTGGCCCCAGGAAATACTGAGATGGATCAGCAATGCACGGGAGACAGAGTTCTTGGCCCTGCAGAGTGAGTAATGTGGATTCTCAAGTTTTCTCCTCTCTCCATTGATTTCTCTGCCAATGCAGATGACTTCCATCATACATCTTCAGCAACCTTGAAAGATTGGATGAGCTTCGGCCCAGTCTTGAAAGTAAAGGAAGGCAGCTAGCAAGACTGGCATCTGGGCTTGGCTGTGCATGTTTTCTATTGTGGGGAAATATATATAACAGAATACTTATAATTTGAACCTTTTAACCAAAGTGTGCACACAGTGGCATTCAAAATATTCACAGTGTTGCATAACCAATACCACTATCTACACCCAAAATTTTGATGATTTCTTACAAAACCTTATCCACAGTAAGCAATACAGCACTTTCCCCCTATTTCCAGGCCATGGTGATTCCTATCCCCACTTTCTCTTGTATGAATTTGATTATTCTAGGCACTTCGTATAAGAACAATTATACACTCTATTCCTTTTGTGTCTGGCTTATTTCCATAAGCATAATGTTTTCAATGTCCACCCATGTTGTATCATCTATCAAAATTGTGTTCCTTTTTTACAGATGGATGATGTACCATTGCATGTAGACCACCTTGCTTTTTGTTCATTGATGGTTGAATTATTTTCACCTTTTGGCTCCTGTGAAAAGTGATGCTATAAACGTTATACAAATATCTGTTTGATTTCTGTTTTCTATTCTTTGGGGTATATACCTAACAGTAGAGTTCCTGGGCCCAACAGGAGTTCTATATTTAACTTTCTGAGCCGCTGCAGATTGTTTTTCACAGTGGCTGCAACTTTATCCATTTCTATCACTAATGTATCAGGGTTACAATTTCTTTACATCTTTGTCCACACTTATTTTCCTTTAAATCATCCTAATAGGTGTATATTGGTGTCTACTTGTGTTTTTCATTTGCATTTCCCTAATGACTAATGATGCTGAGCAGCTTTTCCTGTGCTACTATCAGTGGGTGTATCTTCTTTAGGGAAATATATGTTCAAGTCTTTTGCCCATTTTTAAAAAGTTGTCTGATTTTTATTTAGTTTGTTGTTGTATATTTTTGAATATATTTTATATATATTTAAAATATGTTTTAAATTTTAGTCTCTTACAAGGTAAATGATTTACAAATATTTCACCCTTTGTATAGAACTTTAGATTCACAAACTTCATTAATTTTTATAAAATCCTCAGCAATTGACCCCAAACAGATAAGACTGAAGCACTATTTTAGGAATAGTTGAAAGTATTATCACCCCAAAACATAGTCATAATCAAATCCTGCAAGCTACACGTAAGGCACAATGACAAATAAGGCAGCAAAGGGCCATCTGGTGATTAGTCCACCACACTTGTTGCAACTGTTTGTGCTGCAGTTTAAACATATCAGCATTCAACCCATGTCTCCTCTCTTGAAGTAAACTGTCCTATGTTGGCTGGCCTGAACAAGCATAGATAGTCTCCAGCCTCAATTAATATGCATGCATGACAAAGAAGGAGGTCTGGATGAAAAAATATTGTATGATTAATAATTATGCTTTAATTAATTTTAAAGGATATAATTTCAGTGTTTGTAATTCTCCCGTCGGCAGTTATAACAAAGGATTAGTGACTAAATACAGTAGACTGTTTTGCCTAGAATTGAATCCAGTCTGTCTATTAAGCTTTGCTTTTATTCAAGTGCAAAATGCTAAAACACATAATAACTGCAGTGACAGCCACTGTGGATCCTCAGAGGATTCCACAAAAATGGTCTTGGGACATAAATCCTACAAGCTAATATTGTTTTACGGGGTTTAGAAAACCATTTAACTGGGTTTCAAACCTCACAGTGTGAGCAGTGGGACTCTCAT